AAATAAAAAGTCCCCAAAATGCCTTATGTAAATGCCTTGTTTATTGCATTTACTTTTTGTCTTTGCAGACGTGAAAGAAGAGAAGGAGAAGATGGAGACATCAGGGTGAGGACTTGTGCGATTGGTTTGCTTAAGTAGATAGTAGTGGTTAATTGAAGTGTTTTGTAACATGCTAGTGTTAAACACTTGTTTAGACATGGTTTAGTCATCCAAGTGCATTTGTATGGAATGTTGTCTTTATTTCATTTTGTGTTTCAGGTGGAAAGAAGAGATTTAACCAAGTTGTTCCACTCCTGACAATGGGCCGTTGTTGAATCCTGTGAGCACATGTGGTTGACAGAAGTAGTGTTGTGAGTATGTAGTCTGACATGTATTGTTTTAAATGTGTATCTATGGCCTTTGATTGAATGCATGTTTTGTAAATGAAGGCTTTTGCTATTAAGAGTAAAAGGTTAACAAAATAAATGCAGCGCACACAATATTCCAATAACTTTCTTTATTCTGGAATGTTTACAACAGTCAAATACAGCTAACAATGAAAGTCTTTTTTTTTTGGCCTTTGCACTTTCATTGACAGATACTTAGCACTCACTTTTTTGCAACAGATAAAGCCGTAAAAATGACTCTGTTGCAAAAAAAGTGAGTGTTAAGTATCTAACAATGAAAATCACGTTTTGGTGTTTGCTCTTTCATTGACAGATACTTAACACTCACTTTTTTTGCAACAGAAAAATGACTGTTGCAAAAAAGTGAGTGTTAACTATCTAACAATGAAAGTCACGTTTTGGCCTTTGCTCTTTCATTGACAGATACTTAACTCTTTTTTTTGCAGCAGAAAAAGCCAAAAAAAAAAGACTAACTGTTGCAAAAAAGTGACTGTTAAGTATCTGTCAATGAAAGTGCAAAGGCCAAAAAGTGACTCTGTAATACTTAACACTCACTTTTTTTGCAACAGAAAAATGACTGTTGCAAAAAAGTGAGTGTTAAGTATCTAACAATGAAAATCACGTTTTGGTGTTTGCTCTTTCATTGACAGATACTTAACTCTTTTTTTTTTTTGCAGCAGAAAAAGCCAAAAAAGAAGGACTAACTGTTGCAAAAAAGAGTGTTAACTATCTAACAATGAAAGTGCAAAGGCCAAAAGGTCTCAGTAAAATACTCACCAAGTCCTGCAAACAAGTGATCTGCTTCAAATAAAGTTGCTCCTTTACTCTACCTGGCAGAGTCCCAGTTGCTGTGTTCACAAGTCTTCATCTGTTAGGACAATAGAATACAAGGTACAATGAGCTGGAATAACACAATCAAAAGCTGTCTGTGTAAGTTCTCAGTCATTTAATCCAAAAACTAGTTACACCGAGGGCAAAGACGTTTCACCTCTTGAATGAGAGGTCTTTAAAAAACTACTTTGTCCTCAATGTAACTATTCTTGGAACAATCAAAAGCTGTGTTGGTCTCATTTACCTCCGTCCTGCCGTCAAGGTGGAAAGCCACACAGTTGATGGGACCAAAATGACCTTTGACTCCTGCCAAACACCTCTTCGTACACAGCTTGGAAGAACCTGCAGATAAGAAGAACATGTCACTGTGCAACACGTTAACACAAACAAACAGGTTTTCCTTAAAAGCAGCTACAAAGTAGTCACTTCCACCGCACTGCCAACATTACAACTACAGTGGAAAGTCTGTTGCACAAACAAATGTCATAACTAAATGTTTGCACATCACTATCAACAATAATTCAATGCTTTAAACAGATATTTTATCACTCAATAAAGGCCTTTGTTTGTAACAAAGTCGTGGCTTCTTCAGTGCTAATGCTAACACCACAATGGAATATAGAACATTTTCTTCATCTCTTTCTTTTGTTTAGCTGAAGACTGGATGCTTTATTCACTGCACAATAATACTCTGGAAACACCACTTCAACTCACCTGGCCTCAAACTTTCCAATCCTGTTGATCTTCTAGGATACGCATTGCCCAGCGACAACTTCATCTTACGTGATCCATGATTGGAGAAATGGCAGCAGAGTTCACCGGTCTCTCAGTTTTAAAAGTGTGATGTGATCCAGGGAGGCACAGTCGAAGAGCTGCAAAGACAACACATGGCACTCAGTCTTTTGCACACTACATACAGCAGTGATCATCAACTGGCAGTACACGTCTTGGATTCCAAAACAAACATTAACTCATATTTTCATTTTCACTCCATTTTATCTGGGTGGCTGACTTAGAGCCTTTAAGAGCCACAGTCAGCTATGAACTACGCAATCTTTTATTCAAGCAGTCATCTCTCTTCAAGGCCTTAAAAACAGACAGTCAAGTCACTCAGCTTTATTGGTCTGCAATCTGTTAACATTAAAAGGTAACACTTTGTAACAGTTTGAAATTAACTGCCTGTTATGGTTTTTAACAGCCAGTTCATTTCAAACTGTACCACTCCTTTCTCCTAAGATGTACTTCAAATATTCTGAAGTCTATTTAAGAATGTAAGTCAGCGGATTCACATTACGAGGTCTGTAGCATGGACAGATTGACCAACACGCCTAGACTGAAGCAAAATGTCACTGTAAATAAATGAACAAGTGGATACACTCAAAGTAACCTCACCTACTACTGTGTGGTTTTTTGGTGTATCTTCTTATAACCCCCAACAAATTGTCAATGTTTACTTCAGTTTATACATACTTGTATTACAAACTAACAATAAATATCTTCAAACACCTTTATCATTCACTAGTAAACAACAGAAATCTGTTGTTCTACTTTGGAGCGGGGGTCTCAAGCATAAATGACTGGAGGGTCACCTCATAATTCCATACATTCCAGACATATATAAACAAATCCAAAGAGTTAAGAGGAAAACAATATCTTTGTGTTGAAGACTTCCTTTAGGCAACTGGACATAAAATTTTCACTCAATAGAGGAGGTGGGCTAATACACAATCTATCACCCACAAAGTGAAACCATTCTGCTGAGGATTACAACGGCCATCAGACTCCTAACGACT